TAATTGAAATTTTAATGCGTAGAATTTCTATATAGGTAGGTAACATGCCGCGAATTATCGGTAACACCACAGGTAACACGATCTCAAATCAATTAGCTAAATTATTAGGATGCCACTGATGCCATTAGCGATATTAAATGTACAATAAGCTAGCTGATGTACACGTTGCATAGTTACAATACGAGGGTCAAACTGAAAGTTCTTAGAACTGGCCACTTATAAACAATATAATAAAAAAATAATTCTAAAATTTGAAAATATAACTCTTTGCCAATATTACTGAGTATATATTTCATTCATTTGCCATTTGTTTTACGATTTGGCGGCAAATTGAAAATTGTCTGTGTCACGTCATCATGAATTTAACACGAGAAAATTTTCGTGCAATGATTTTTTATGACTTTCGATGTCATTTAAGTCAACAAGAAAGTTATGATAGACTACGATTGGCCTTTCACGATGAAGCCCCATCTCGTGCGACTGTTTACAACTGGTTTAATGAGTTTAAACGTGGTCGCACTAATCTCACTGATGATTTACGTGAGGGACGGCCTTCTACGGCGACGACTGAAGATAACATCTGTGTTGTGCGGCGTATGATAGAGACTGACAAAAGAGTGACCTATCAACAGATTCGGACAAGCTTAGGCATCGGTATGAGTCAAGTGCACAAAATCCTCCACGAACATTTAGCGGTCAGGAAGCTTTGCGCCCGGTGGATACCTCATAATTTGACTGAGGCTCAAAAACTCCATCGTGTGGATTGGTGTCGTAAAATGATTGAAAGATTTAACGGAGGTGACTCAAATGCTGTGTTCGACATACTAACAGGTGACGAAAGCTGGATTTACTGTTATGATCCTAAAACCAAAAGACAATCTGCTCAGTGGGTGTTTCCTTTCGAGGAGTTGCCAACTAAAGTGAAGAGAGATCGAAGTGCGGGAAAAAAAATGGTGGCCTCGTTCTTTGGAAGGATAGGTCATTTTGCAACAATTGTGTTAGAGGATCAAAAAACAGTTTCTGCAGAATGGTACACTACCAATTGTTTGCCACTTGTCTTGGAAAAAGTTCGAGAGAAACGACCTCGCAGTAGGATCCTCCTTCACCACGACAACGCCTCGTCGCACACCGCCAAGCGAACGATCGACTATTTGGCGACATCAAACGTTGAATTACTGGGTCACACGCCGTATAGCCCCGACCTCGCGCCTTGTGATTTTTATTTATTTCCAAAAATTAAAGAAAAACTTAAAGGAAAGCGGTTTATGAATGCTGAAGAAGCGGTGGCTGCGTATCGCGATGCCATTGAAGAGACCCCTAAGGACGAGTGGGCAAAGTGCTTTTCCCAGTGGTTCCATCGCATGCAGCGGTGTATTGACGTGAATGGACAATATTTTGAAAAGATATAATAAAACTAATAACTGGCTAATGTAATCAGTTTTTGATTTTCTAAGAACTTTCAGTTTGACCCTCGTATACCTATTACATATTCATCAATGAAATGATATAACGTATTAATTATATATATAAAAAAAACAATTTTTCAAATAAATATAAATAACACATTTATTTAGTGACACATTTCCATTCACTAAATCAAGAGAATAGATATTATAGAAAATTTTATAATGTTCAAAGAAATTCTAAAATATTCTAGCTAATTTCAAGATTAGGCTGTTCTTTTTTAGAATGTTCTAGAATATTTTGGAATATTCTCGAAGATTATCGCAAGCGAAATATTAACGCCCAGCTTACAGTAGCCGTAACAAAACTTTTAAGCATGAAAAAGATATACCTTTTTTAATATTTTACAACGACATTTATATAACGATATTTTCATATATATACGGATAGAGAGCAGTCACCAGAATTACGAAAGGTCGTGCATTTGAATCCCATCTCAATGGGATGTTTTAAGCAATTTTATTAAGAATAACTTGTTTTAAGGTAAATAATTGTCTTTATACAGCATTATACTTAATATTTAATTTCAGGTATGTAAACGCTGTCTATATTTCTAAAGAGTAATTACGGTAGGGTGATTTTAGTAAGCCATATATCAGGCTCAACTTCACAGTGACCTTGTAATGAGGCTTTATTAATTTTATTTATTTATTAAAACTCAGAAAACGTTACCATTACAAGTCCATTTAAATTATTAAAATGTATTTATTGATAATTTGTCGATTTCCATTGACCAATAAACGTTTTAAAATTTAATAAAACAAATTAATTCCAAACTTAAAGCTACTACAAAGTTAAGTTTTTCTTTTTAAACAACAAGGATGTATCAAAAAAATCGAAGTGATCGCTTGGTCGACTGCCGACGTTGCATTTATAGTTTACTTATGAAGTCATGAACGAAAAATCACACTCGAATAAGTTAAATGCGTAAAATTTTAAAAACTCGAGAGGAATTTTGTTTTTGAAATATGTTTTTGCAGAAGTCCAAGGGAGAAATATGAAAAATTACATATTTCACATAGGGTGTAGAAAAAAATTCTTAAATTGAACTTTGTGACATTGTAGTGTTACATAGGTATATTTTTGATTCCTTTTTATATAATTAACATTAATTTTATTCGAAAACCATATCGATTTATGAAATGTAATCGAAAATTATAAGCAGGGTACCTCATTATTAAGTTAAAATTGATAGATGTCAAAATAGCTTTTTTAAGATTATATAATATAAAAGAGCTTTCGGTTCATAATTTTTTCTGAACCTTGAACCAGAATATTACTACTTATCTGTCAATTTTCGAGATAAAGCAAAAACGCAGTCTTCTCTACAAAAAAAGCTTAAAAAAGTCGGCAACACTCTTGACTCCGAAACAACAGAGATTGGATGGATATTAAGTGTTTTAAGTGGTATTCAGTTTTGCCAAAAGGAAGGCCAAAATGGCCTTCAATAATGAAGGCTAGGGTATAAATAAAATTATAGTTTTTATTTTGAGTAGCTCTAAAAAAACATAAAAAGGTTTAAACCATTTTTTTGCGTTTAAACGTTTTGAGTCACTTAAAAACTGTAATTGATATCAATATATGTTCTTCCAAAAATACTTATTGCAAATTAATTGAGTAATCAATAAAATGTATAAAATGACAGCTCTGCGCCTCTAAGCCCCAACAGTTTGACTAGGGGCTGCACATTCGCTTCTGATCGTTTAAACCTTCCTAGGACTACGACAAACATTTCAGAACTAAAATCAACTAAATGGCCCAGATCGAGATTTTCAAAAAAGATCTCAGTGTTCCATTAAAAAAAAATATCCCATAGAGTCGATTAAATTCGAGTCATCAATAACTTATCAAGTAATGGTTAATGGCTTTTTAATTCTAGGTAATTTTTAACGAAATCCGATAAAAAAAAATTAAATTCTCCAACGTATTCCCTTGGCATTCAACGACGATCGATTCTAGCCAATCCACGGCGACAATTACACAACATTTTCCACGTTTCAAATACGTCGGGCGTGAAATAATAAAATATTGCGTCGTAAACATTTTCCGACTGACAATTATACTGCATTGGTTTGATTGTATCGTTAATGGTAACGTAAATATTTATTGATAGGTTTATTGTAGGACTTTTGAAGAATGATGCCTGGGTAAAAAAACGAAGCAATTGTATTTAGTCAGTAGAAATATCTTAGATGATTTTTTTGCTTCAATTTAGAAAAAATAATATAATTGGTATTAATTTTGAGGAAGGGGGGTTCACTACGTCATAACGGTGTAAAAAAACCACCTTGGGGTGTCGACATGTGACATTAAAATTCAATGTATGCCCGTAATTAATTCACAACGCAAAATATAAAAAAAATACGTATTCAATAATTTTAACAACGGAAAAAAAATTGTCTTCAACTCTATAGTAGCAACTCTTCAAAATGATTTTCTTGAATTTATTAACCGCCTTTTTATTTACTTATTGGCAATTTTTTTATTTATTGGAAAAAAGCTTTAATTTTTTCGTCACAAATAAAAAAAAACTTACAAAATGATTAGGCTAATATAAATTTTTTTTTTGAATTTGAACTGCAAATGTTAAGGAGTCTGTTAATTTTCTTTGTTACTTATTTATGCGTTACATCAATGTATATAAAAAAAGTAAAAAGCAGAAAACCCAATTTTTATTTCAAAATTTGTGATGTACTATTATTTCTTTTCTCACCATCTCGCTTAGCAACAACGGATGTTTTAGTCACTAAACAAAAATTCCTATAATTTTTTCTCGTGGAAGAGAAAAAGAAAACGTTGAAGAGTAAATAACTCTTATAAATATTTTAAAAGCAACTTATGCTGACGTTATCATTTCGCCGAGTACAAAATGAATTCGCTTGCTCACTATTTCCTAATTGACTAATATATAACCCAAAAAATATGATATAAAGCAAGAGTTAAAATTCGTATCAGGCTTTACCAATATCCCGATCGGAAACCCGATTAAATTTATAAGGATACTTCGAAATTAGTAGCTCGGTTCATGAATAATAAATGAACGAAACTACAGGAGCGGTGCTATATTCTTCAAAGCAATTTCTGAATTATTCATGATTGTATCTAGAAAGTGATCTTTTACACGCCATAATCTTGATTAGAGCCTTCAGTAAATCTTTCTATACAAAATATAATGACTGCGGAAATCAAACTTTGTAGAAATAAAACGCAAGAAGAAGCTGAAAGTAAAGAGGAAAAACACAGAAACTACTTATTATATCTTTGCCATTTATTTTTACGACGACAAAAATACGATACTCGTTTTATTCGCAACCAGCGATCAATAAAAATGTCATCAAAAAAATCGGAAAAAGTCAACGTTACCGAACAGGATCTTCTAAGGGTGCCGTTACGAATCCATCACACACTCAATTGAATATATATGAAATCATAGATTCGAAATTTAAAATTTATATTTCGCAAATGGCGTGACGACTTGATTTTTAAATGAAAAGAATGTGTTGAAAATTTAAATTTCGAACTATCGTGATACATACGCGCGCGGTCCTAGTTGTTCGGTTCGCCGGCCCGACTGATCGGGAGGCGCTCTGTGCCGCGAATGAGAGCTTGCGGGTCGCGTCAGCCCTTATACATGGACCCCCAGTGGTTAGCGCCAAGCGGTGGGCGGACATCTATAGAGCTGGGGTATTAAACTTAAAAATAGACTCTCCAACATAAGTAATGAAATTCAATAAAACTGATTGGAATTCAGCAACGGCGAGTGTAAAACTTATTAAGGTTCTGTTGCACATAATTGCCTGATTGACTGACACGTCGTTTGCGTTGGTTTATAATCTATAGAGAACGGTGACCATCGATACCGTCCTCTTTGTTAGAATTTTGCACCAAGATCTTGTTTTAGGTTCTATATATCCAAACTTTTGCCGCGTAATTATAAAACAAGGACGGAAGTTAGCACTTAATTTAAAACATTGACCGCTTAAAGCAAATTGACAATGACAGGAGAGGAAACGTCAAATTATTGATCATTGCCATCTTTCATTCATTTCATTTTGCGAAATTAATTAAATGCCCGTTTTAACAAAACTTAGGAGTTAAGTTAAATTCATTTCATCAGTGACTAGGATTACGCGTTTCCTAGTTAAGCTATGCCTTGTTCTAGGTTAGTGAAAACGGATGCGTCATTTTTGATAATTTCTATTTCGTTATTTTTAATTGTTTTTTATAATTCTGTATGTAATAACTTATCTTAGTATTTGTTTTACATACGTTTACATGATGATCTTTGGGTCACGACTTACATAATGCATACCTAAGTTAACTCAATCGGATAGGTTCGGAGAAAATCAGTTACATCAGATGTACAAAGAAAACCAAATTTATTTTTATAATTTATGCAGAAAATACTGGTCGTAAGCATGTAGATTGTACTACTTTTGTACATTAAAATTTTCCAAATTCATATTTGATATGGAAAGTGAATTTTAGATAAGGTATAAAGATTTCATAAATTATTAGTTAAAACATGGACATTTCGAGAAGCAGACAGTTTTCAGTACATTCGGTCCAGGATTTTGGTGGTTAAGTGATTTTTGCCGGCCATCGGATGGATGACCTTGTGACCGGATATGTGGTATCTCTGTTTTGTTCTATTTCATCCGTGCTTCTGTATCCTGTCAGGAGGGTCAGGTTCAAATGTTTCCGAGCCTCTCTCCCCGAACTTAAATCGTACTCCGCAAGGGGAGCGAAATGGGAGAAAGTACCTCTAGAGCTGTTTTAACCTTCCGCGCCTTTCCTGCCATTGACAACAACATCGATTTTTTTAGTGGACCAATAACATCAGTGCATAACTTAATGGTGTCTGCACGAGGAATACGATGCGGCATATCTATGCGGGGTTTTATTTTTCTTGTAATCTATTTATAAGGAGAAGAGATTTGATTTTTTGTTTGATTACACTGAATAGACCTACTGAACCTATTTTTAAAATTCTTACACCTACGGGATGTATCACTTTATTCTGGTGACTTAGGCTATATTTACAACAGTCTATGTCGCAGGGAAAGAGCTATTGATATACATACCAATAAAAAAGAGCTACATATTCCGCCAAATGTGGACCTTATCAACCAATTATCATAATATTGAAGATAACAATATAACAATTAATCGGTATTTTTAAGGATCTATTTATATAGCCTTAATAAGTGGGAATTCACTTAAAGATGCTTGTTGCTACCTACGCGAATTTACAGGGTTGCGGAAAGAGCACAGAGGAGGCGTTGAATTAAAAAGAAGAAGTATTTATATATTTTAGAATGTTTAAAATACTACGTACCACCGTTTTGCACCATTCTTTAGTCCTGGGTTTTACATATCTAGAGTTACCATAACTCAGGATTTGTCCAGAGATTTCTCAGGATTGCGGTCGGATTTTACAAATAGCAGGATCTTAGTAATGTGTTCCGCGGTATACAAAAACTTTAATAAATGTCTTTTGATTTGACTTTTTTAGATTGTTAAGTGCGTTTGAGAGAAAAATCTCAAACTGAAAAATAAATATTTTTCACTGTAAATTAGGTATTTCCTCCGAGTTTTTGATTTTATCGTCTGGTAAACGTTTTTGTCTTATAATAAGACTAGGACTAAAGTAAATACTTGGTTTAAATCATTGACCACCTAAACCAGAAACCTTTAACTGAGACATTTTAATTTATTTTGGTCTGATAGTTTAAAATTGGTATTAAAGTTCGTTCTAGTTTTATAATAAGATCGTTTATGTTTAGGATTTCAAATTCATTTTATATTCTTCCCACTATGTAATTTATAATATCATATTTGTTATAATTCAATTTTTGAATGTCATTTTTTGTTTATTTCAGATAAAATAATAGTCTTTAGTATTTATAATTTAATTGTAAGCGCTACAGATATAATTTAACAAAGATAAGTAAGTTACTGTCGCATAATAAGGCATGATGTTTATGATAGCTGACAGCAGTTAAGTACTAAAAACTCAACTGATATAGGTTTGAATTACATTATTCTCTTTACTGATAAGTCGGAGCTGTATTATCATTGAGATATATTTTTAGGAGTCCAACGGTCAAATAAAAAAAAGCAGAAAACAATGTACCTGTATAATAAACTAGCTGTTTTCCACTGACTTACTCAAAATTATAGTATATAGTCTATATCAACCATATGTGAAAGGCGCTGAAAGTATTTTTTAAATCTGTCTAGTGTGTAGTTTCGGATTTATTCAATGAAAACAAACATTTAAATCTCTCCTCTTTATTAATAGTATTCCAATAGTTAAATTTAATAGGAGGCGTTTCGTTTAGGGTTTTTGTAGTTTAATTCGTTTAGGCGAGGTTCTTACTACACATATTGCCTCTCCGACATTCACTACTCTATTCATACTGGCTCGGCAATTTTTGACTTCTGATATTACCTTCAAACAGTACCGCGATTTGTTTTATCATAAAAAGTATCTTTAAACTTAAAAATTGTAGGTATATAAAATTCGAGAATAACGTAACTATCGTCATTCTTTCACCATTATCAGTCTAATAATACCTATAGATGGAATTAATTAGGCAGAGATGTCTTAACTTACTAGGACTTTATTATGCACACTCAGTGAAGATTGGTGACTGTTAAAGCCTGAAGATGTAGCTGAGACCAACGATTTAACGTGCCTTACAAATCATAGAGGAGCTCGAGATAATAAATTTCTGATCACCTATCCTGTAACTGGCCTTAGAGAAAGTTGCTTAACTTACGCTATCGGGCCTCTCGTAATTCTTTCATCTGGTAATCATTGAAATAACCCGATAAAAAATATTTTTTCGCAGCTCCATATAGATTCTTGCGTCACCACACCACGAGTTGTCAACATCTTGTTATTAGTCGTCGTCTGAAAGGAGTTCTTATGTGGGAAAATGCTGTAGTGGCCAGACTCTCACTCAAAGTAACGCTGTTTAACTTTTTAATTTTTCAGACGAAGGAGTTCTCTAACCTATTTAGAAAATAGATTCTTTTGTTTAAGAAAACAAATATTGGTGTTCTTAAAAAAAGAAACAAATTATTAATTTGCATTATAAAGCTTGTAATTTATAATTGAATACTGGAAATTTTTCACTGTAAATTAAAGTAATTAAATATTGATATTTTATCATCGCCGGCTTATAACTGTCCCTACTTTTGCCCTGCGATTCTATAATAATCCAAACCCGAATTCGAATCCACTCAGGTGTCTGAATTCACTTCAAAAACGAATGGAAAAAATAATAAATAGCGACTGTTAATCGCATTGTTCAGTGCTTTTAAAGGAATTGATATATCAAAATGTTACTAGCTGACCCGGTGATCTTCGTATCACTTACCTCTTAATAAAAACCTTATAATCGGGTTATAATTATCGTATAAATAGGGTTTAAATTAATAATGTTTTCGTGCACTAATAACTATAATGGCGACAGTATGTCTTTTTTTTTCACGTGCTGTCAAGACGAACCATAGATTGAAAAATATTGCGTAAACAGACCACTACACGACCATAAATATTGATCGCCAACTAAACGTTTGACAGCTAAGAACAGTTTATATGGGGAAAATCAAATTGTCGTTTTTAGTATTATACTCGCAATTTTGTCATATTTTCTCATCGTTTAAACCTTTCTTTGAGTAGCTCGGTGGCGTAGTGGATAAGCGCCGCGGCCTGCGATCGTTGTCGTTAAGCAACTTTCGCAAGGGTCGGTCACGGGATGGGTGACCACAAAAATTATTATCTCGAGCTACTCCGTGCTTTGGAAGGCACGTTAAGCCGTTGGTCCCGGCTGCATTTGCAGTCGTTAATACCCTCCAATCCGCATTGGGCCAGCGTGGAGGGTCATGGCCCATCCTCCTTAACCATCCATAAGGAAGGCCTGAGCCCCTGCAGTGGGGACGTAAAAGGGCTGGTGATATGATGTGAAACCTTCCCAGAACTTCCACACGAATATTTCAAGACTAAAATTTGTCAAATCGGTTCAGCTGTTCTCGAGTTTTAGCGAGACTAACGAACGGAAATTCATTTTTATTTATATATATATGGATATGACTGCTTACAAATTGGGCCACAGTACTACCAACTACTGTAGCAAAGGGTACCCAGGTTTTTCTTTATTATCCAAAAACCCTTACAGCCCCCAGTTCTTAACAATTCATAGAAAAGAGGGAACGTGCTAACCTCATGCAATATGAGGCACTATCTAGCTATTTATTAATATTTATAATTAAAATTTATAAAATATATGTAATTGGGTACAAGTAAGAACAATGTCTGGACTTCATAATTTTAATTAACGACCTCCGTAGCCGAGTGTGGTCAAGGTGTCGCCACCTCTGACGTCTCGGGTTCGATTCCGATCGGGTCAATGTGGAAAATGAACTTTTCTATATTGTCCCGGGTCTGGGTGTTATGGTACCTTCGTTGTCTCAGATACTCCATAATAAGGGGGCTTTAGCTACTCATCTTGGAATATGAGAAATGCATGTGATGTAGTTTAATATTTATTTGAATTTTATAATAACTAAAGCAACAAAGCTCTTATATG